CGATTCTGAGATCGCCGGTAAAAATAAATAAATAAACATACGAGAATTGCTCGTTTAAATATATTAGAAGAATAGATAGCATAAAAATATATTCTAAGCATTAAGCTTCTTATTAATAGTTACGTAGCTAAAATAAGAATCTGTTCACCTATTTCACTTATTGCAATTACAGATCATTATTTACTAGCATTATAGGCCATTTTATATAGGCGTGATTACTTAAGAGCAGCAAGTACCTGGGCTTAAAGACCCTATGCTAGTTTATTAAGTAAAAAATTACCGCCATCCACCTTATATACAAACACATTACTAAATATAGTCAAAAATACTCTAATTTCACGCAATATGAGCGTTATGATCGGCCTATTTTGCGCTACTTAAGGAGAGGTAGATAGCTAGATACCTTCTCAAATATACCTACTAGTAGGTACTATTGTTCGTCCAGTGATATTCAATTAAACAACTTTTTTACAAGCTTTCTTAGATTTACACGAATATTTGATATTTTAAAAACAAAACTATCTCTTTAGTTAGAAAGATAGATTTGAAACACTAATAACCGATTTCACCAACATCAGTTAAGCTGCCACCTACGTATGGGATCCCTAGCTTAAAATTCCCCTAAACTAGCCCCTAAATTAAATTTCGTTTTACGATCGTCTTTAAGCTCATATTTTGAGCACATAAATTTAGGGGGCCTTTTAATATTTAGGTGACCCCTAACTGTCGGTGAAACAGAAAGTGTCCCCTAACAGCCCCCTAACCATGCTTAGGGGATCCCTTAAACTTAGATGATGTTGGTGAAATCGGGCATAAAACTACTAAACAAAAAACAGGAAATTAGTTGAAGGAGGACAAGATGGTGCTAAACAGTTTTGTATTTAACTATCTACATAAAAAAAACTATTCTCAATTTTTTATTAATTCAATGATTACTAAACAAAAAAAGAAAATCAGTGGACAAAAAGAAGATAATTAAGTACTAAGCGTTTTAAATAAATAGTGTTTGCCTTTTTATATGTAGACTAGCAGAACCCGCGGCTTCGCTGCGCTAAAACTACAAAAACTCTTTGCTATTAGTAATAATTAGGTATGTATAGAAATCTGACCAATTTGTTGACATTTATGATTACTGCTCCACTCTCTTGGGTAGTACCATGATGATATATAGCCTATAGCCTTCCTCAATAAACGGGCTATCTAATGAAAAAAGAATTTTTAGATAATCGCATTCAAACAAACAAAAAACTCGGCCTCTTTATATTATTAGTATAGATATGTTAGGCGATATCATTGCCAATAACATTAATATGAATAAATCCCATTTTTGATAAACCAAGTTCCATTTCTAAAGGTTTATTAATTTAAATTTAACTTTTACAAGTGACTTTTCTGACTTTTAAATAAAAAAAGCAATGGCGTAGATAGTTGATGATACCACGTACTCTGTTAGATATTTTTTGTTAATCGCACATTTATTTGGTCACATTGCACTTTCGATTTCATATTATAAGTTTCAAATAGATCGAGTGATAACATAATAGGCCCGCTTTCCATACAATATCATCGTAATACTGTATAAAAAATATATTAGATGCGGTTTTTATGTAGATTGCCAAATATTGACGATTTATATAACATTCATTTCGTGGTTTTATTATTTTTATATAAACTAAGATATTTTTTTTTCATGTTCTCTATCTAAGCGGTGGGCTGACTCTCATAGATTTTTTTATAATCTATACTAATATTATAAGGAGGTAAAGTTTGTGAGGTTGTAGAGGATAATCTATGGATCTACTGAAACGTGCGTTCACCTTGTCGTGGTGGGGGGGCTCAGTAGTAGTACGAAGCTAAGAAACGCACAGGGAGGTTGCCCACTTCGGTGGGCGGTGGGAGGTGGCCCTCTTCGGGGGGGCGGTGTACCTTGCGGGTTGCTCCTGGTACTTCTCTGATAGCAGAGTGGACCTTGGAGCAACCCCAAGGTTGTGGTGGTCTGCTTTGGCAGACCTGCCGTCGGGGCGTCGTAGTTGAATGCGTAAGCGATCCTGCGACGCCCCATTAAGACGGGGGAAGGTTTTGTTGGATTTTAGTGGGTAGCACTGGCTGTATTACGCCGGTGAGTCCCACACGTCGTGCGTAAATGCATTTCCCAACGTTAAAAAAAAAAAAGAAAATGGATCTACTGAACCGATTTAGATGAAATTTGGTAAGAAAATAGTTTGAGACCCAGGGAAGGACATAGGATATTTTTTATCCCGGAAATCATCCCTTAAAGGAGTAACAATGGGGATGAAATACAAATTGGGAAGCAAGCTAGGGACGAACCCGACCGAAGTCGCTAGATTATAATAAAAACTTTAAAAACTTTGGCTTAGCTAAATCCTACTTTTAAAAAAAATCTTTGGTAAATTTCTATGTCCCAATAATATCTAGACAAAAGGAATACATAAAATATTGTTCTTAATATAGTTTTAATATTTAAGAGAACTGAATCAAAGCTTTTAAGAACTTTTGTTTGTCTATGAAAGCTCCCCAAACTTAGTAAAAATAAACACACTGGTGAGATCGAATACTAAACTAATACTAGGTAATAAAATTCAATATATTAGTCGTTTTAAATTTTTTATTACCTTTCTAATGGATAAAAAATATTACATTTGATATTTATGATTAAAAAACAGTTCGTTGTTTATTTAGGCATTAAGATTATTTTACATGTTGATTTAATTAAAATCTTGCATAACATTTACAAAATCTGGTTTTTAAAAACCACAAAAATAGCACCTACAATTTGAGGTAGAATTTATTATGGCTACGCATGTCCTTTGCGTGGAAGCCTTAAAAATATCTCCAAGGTGGTCCACTTGATTACTTTCATTTTAGATTTTGAAGATCAGTAAAGCGAACATACACTGCAGATACTTACATATATTATGCCTAATACTGACCTTCGTATCAATGAGATATACGTTTTTATCGATATTGCCAACTATGTATAGTTTATATGAATATTAAATTTAAGATTAAAGAGAAACTCAAATAGGTGACAAAGTTAAAACTAGATTGGAGCGTCCTGTAGTATAGTCTTTGGGACGCGATAATTCATTCAATGATCAATTTTGAACGTAACGGCAAGTATTAGATAGCTAAATCACAAAATAGTCACCCACCGCGAGACATCTAGGCAGATGTCAGACGAATCTAAAAATCGGCCTTCGAGAAATGCATAAATAAGTCAAAAGGTTTCGTATTTTCCTAACTTTGTAAAGTTGTAAACACAGAAATCATCTGACAATTCATTTCATAGATCAACTGCAGAACAGAAGAGCCTTCTGCTAAGCATTTAGTTACTGAATACACAGTAATATTTGAAATTTATAGGTACACGTAATGAAGTCGATACCCGTAACTAAATAGCAGATGCGAGAGACCGAATCAAATTTTAATTATCTCTTGAGAGATTAATAAATGCCGTTACATGTTCGGTATTAATAAATTTGTCACCCCTTTATAGATAGTGCGAGAATGCGAATCGCGGACAATGAGCCGACACTGAGTTATTGCACTGATAGACCATTAGTCTCTCTGAAGCTACAGAATAATGGCTAAGAGAGCCGATAGCATCTATCTGGCTGGAAATGACACGTTGCTGTTAGTTATACATTAATTGTTGGTTGCGTATTTTTGATTTTTATCGCTGCGCCATCGCCACCTAGCAAGTGACGGCTGGTACAAATCTAAAACAATTTTGATACCGGCTTTTGATAAACTCTTAAGAAATCTTATACCCAAGAGCAAACGTTTAGAAATATTTATGGTTACAGACTAATAATATAGGTAATAAATATGTTTCCAGCGTTTCTAGATCTACAACTAACAAAGATGGTTTTATTTTGTGTAATACTAAAACTTTAATTCAATTATTTTTATTTGCGATTGCAAAACAATAGTTAACAAGTAGCATATATCTAATACTCTAAAATCACTAAAAGTTTGTAGATAACTTGTCTAGGTTCTATATTTCTATGTTTCCAGCGGGAATAATGGGCTCCGTCGGTAATTCACTAAGCGATGGTATCGGATGTCGATACACCCTTTTTATGACCACTCCGCAGATATAGAAAGAGTTCGCCAATCTACTTTGCTGTTAAGGTTTGCCTTATTGTTTATTGATATACCGTTAGCTTCATAAGTTTAAGGATTCCGATAATATCAAGACTAAGTGCACCAAAAGGCAATTCCGAATAAAACAAAGGATCTAGTAGTCACAATTATGGAGCTTTATTGTTGTATTGGACTTCCCACATGGCTTCTGTTTTGATATTTGCTCATGATTACTTATTTAGTAAAAAAAGTAAATATCATACTTTTTATTCATATTGGTGAGTTTTTCTTATACATATTAACGACACGTTTGGCTCAGTTTGTAGTGGCCCTACTTTCTGTGCCGGCGGTCGCAGGTTCAAATCCCGCTGGGGTCATTCATTTGTGTGACGACAAAGGTTTGTACTCCAGTCATGGAAGTTTATATTTATAATATGTATGTGTTTAAAGTTATATATGTGTAGTGTATCAACTATCTGGTATCCATAAGACAAGCCTCGTAGCTTACCATGAAACTAGATGGTGCTGTGTGTTAATGTTCCAACGTATTTATTTATTATTTATACATACATCAAGCAAGGATGTAGTGATGACTAGACCGAAGCAAAGAAGAGTCAATAACTACATGGTACCATTTAAAAAAACAATATATATTTATAAGTTAAGAGACTCCAATAATTTCTTTATGTATAGATTGTACCATTCGAAATAAATAAATGATGATGATGTTCTCCTGACCGATTCCGGCCACGGCGGCCAATCTCATTGAGACTAGCCAACTGCGCAGGAGATATTATAGTGCTCAAGTGCACGCGCAGACACAAGTGCACTCTCTATTCCTGTTACTCTCATACTCTGGTGGGACGACCACTCGACACGACCAGTGAGAGTTAAGGTGCAGGACCGACGGCTTTACGTGCTCTCCGAGGCACGGGGGTGAAACACCGCCAACTTCCCAACTCCGGGCTGTTACTGAGACTTACTATACAGATAGACTCAATAACTAAACTTGGCCCGACCCGGGACTCGAACCCAGGACCTCCGGATATGCAGCCGTACATGCTAGCCATTACACCACCGAGGCAGTTAAATAAATATTTCTGTTACCAATATGAAAGTCTATCATTGAGATATTTTGACTTACCTTGATAAGAAGAATGGCAGATATTAACTGTTGTATGGCTATAGGACAATATTGATAAATCACGAGCCACGCGTGCCTAAAGCCAACGCTGAGATCAAACAGCTTGTTCATAAGATAAGTTGAGTTTACTGTAGGGTTCATAAAATAGTATAGCGAGTGAAGATATGTTATTTAAAATATAATTACACTGCCACCTTAAAATTCTAGCTGGTATCACGATATCTTGTCTTACCTTGATAGGAAGAATGGCAGGCATGAGCCGTCGTGCTTTGGACGGCGAGGATAAATCATCGACGGGACACGCGCGCCCCCGGCTAGCGCTGCGCAACTGAGATGTACTCGACGACAGTTGGACTGTTAACATATTAAAATATAATCATCACTTAATAAATCTTCTTCTATGTATAAAGAGAAACTAATTTGCGGTCAAACTGACAAATCTGAAATAAAAAAAATTGCAAGAAATATTCCTTTAGTACCTCATAATAACCCAGAAGAGGGGTTTTACAAAATTTAACACTCGTAGTTTATTTAACATGTTAATTCAACAAAAATAGCAGCCATAAATGTAGTCGGATAGCGGTCTTCTCAATCAGTGAATCTCATCCTTAGATAATATCACTACATGTAACGTTTTGCATATATTTTTAAATGAATCTTTAGTAATTAAAGCTCTATATTGTGAACTAATCAGCATTAAATCGTTTCTTTATTTACGTGCGTCTAATCATTTGCAATTAAAAAGCGCTAAGCGCTAGATCATCTCAGGCTCTACTCTAGAACAGGGAATGTGTGCGTAGGTGCGACTCCTCATGTCTTAATTAAACAATTGTGTGGTTAGTCTCATTAATTACTTAAGAGGCTGTAATTGTATCAGTAATTGAGTGTTGTCAGCCTGGCAAAGGTCAAAGGTATCCAGCGCAAAATAAAGGTATTTAAGATCAAATTCATTTGCAGTCGTGGAACTGCCTATTCGATTTCCAAGTCCCGGGTCTTATCCGGTCACTAAAGTTTAAACACATTTCATGCAACAATGCTATTAAAATAAACAGACTAAACATTAGATTGTTATTAGATTAGTTCAATTACGAAATATTTATATAAATGCGGACATAATGTTAAGATATGATTTTTCTTGTAGATAAGACGTCTGTTGGTTGGTAGCTATAATAAATAATTTTATTTCGTTCCGCTCGTGTAGTTTAGTTATGTATAATTACATACATAAACTCCTCCAAACATGCGCATGTTTCCTCGTCCTCGTAATATACTCCGCTTCTAAATTTTACTTCATCCACTATGTCGCATCCCCAGAGAACTTGCTATTTAAAACTTAGAATAAATTATCATTTTTAATTAAGAAAATTATTTCCAATTTTTGTCACTATAAACAATAACGGATTTTCATAAAAACTTCCAACCTCTTTTTTAACTGTGAAGAGGTTGAATTTCCAAAAATATTAATTATAGCATTTATACTTTTAGAGATTTGTTGGTTAATCGGTGAGTCGTATTTTGCTTTTGTATAGATTGATATCCAAAGAAATGAGTTATTAAAACTCAAAACTTTAATATCATGACAGTAATATAAAAATATATTGTTTTAAATAATTTAGTCAATTTATCGTAAGTGATATCTGTTGCTCTGAATTTCATAGTAGGCGTTTTAATCCACGATTCGTGTCCTATTTAAAAAAATTATTGTATTGTAAATTTTAGTAAGCTTAAATGCTTTGTTGCTTCAAATATATGACGGTGAATGATTTTTATTTTTACGTTTTCACACTTCTTACGTTGTAATTACCAAATTACTATATATAATATAATCGTTACACAAATAGATGGCTATGTGGGACTCGCCGGATAGAAAATCCAGTACTACCCTCTAAAACCCAAGGGAACTTTCAGTCTTATTGGGACGCCGCAGGATCGCATACATACACAACCACGGCACTCAGACGGTAGGTCTGCCAAAGCAGACTATAACAACCAAAGGATTTCCCACCCACGTTTCACTCTGGTATCAGAAAAGTACTAAGAGCAACCCACATGGTACACCGACCACCAAGGTGGACCACCTCCCAGTGTGTCTCTTGACCCTAAGTTATATAGACGTCCTATTAAGACGGGGGAGGTTCTGTTGGGTTTATTAGCTATTTAATAGCTTATATATAAAGATAGGTGTTAAGAAGTTTGCTAAAGTTTCTATAGAACTTTCTATGCTCTCATTTTGGCGACAGTCATGACGACGAGTGGGAATTTTGAAAGACCCTTATTAATATTGTGTATTTGGATCTAGTTGTTAAAACACGTACTTAAAAGAGAAAATTATTAATATCTTATTTGATTATCATAGCTCATTTATTAATTAATTTATTTATTTATTGGGTTACCAGCGATTTGACATCTATACATATAATAAAATTGTAACTAAGCCGAATCTGTACATTAAATATTTTTTGAAAAATCTTATTGAAATAAACATTATTATCGATACAGAGGCCAAATCTATACTTTTTAGAATTTTTGTCTGTCTGTCTGTCTGTCTGTTACCGCATCACGAGAAAACCACTGAAGGGATTTTGATGAAATTTGTTATGGTGATAGCTGGTTATCCGGGTCAACATATAGGATACTTTTTACCGCAGGAAAAGGTCTCATTTCTGAGAAAAAATACAAAAACTGCAATGTAAGAATATACTAATATGTAAAACCTAAGAATTTGGTTTTTGGTCATCTGATCGCGGGCGGAGCTGCGGGCAATGCTAGTAATTAAAATTTCTTAAAGTATTTACAATTTACATTACATGCACAGGGTATGTAAAATCATTTAAAGGTAAACATGCAAATTTTGCTTATTATTACTTAATAAATCTAGAAGTGAGTTAAAAACAAAAACCAACTAAAACCAGAGGCAAACAAAAAATAATACAAAAGTAATTTGGTAAAAGTCTAAATTAAAATACTTGTTTTTAGAACTTATATTTATCTTACACCTACCTAAAAGCTACGTGAATAATTTGCGGGTAAAATATAAACATATGCTTAAAAATTCTTACCTTATCTTCAAGTGTCACGTATAATTTATAAAGTAAACTGACAACACTAATTTTCACGGAAAACAATTTTTGGAAATTTATCGACATCATAAAAACGGTTGATGGATTGATCGATATCTTTTATCTGATTTTTTTCGTTTACGAGATGAACTGATAAGACTTCTAGATTTGTCAATGTAGTAAACATTTTTTAAATGTATATGAGATGAACGTAAAAATTAAAGATCAAATTTTTTAAGCAATTTAAAAAAAGCTTACTTTTGTACTATATACGATTTTTTAAAATTTACATATTTTTTAATATTTTTCAAAATTTAAATCCCTTGAACTTAAGCCGTCCCTGACTCGGTTAATTTTGACCGGAGGAAAAAAGTCATGAAACCTTTTTTATGTGAAATTTTAAGCTGTACACATTTTTATTAAAACTTTTTTGTCTAATTTTTGCCGTTTTCGAGTAATTGCGAAGAAACACTTTTGACAAAAAAATTTCTACGCTTGCCGGGGGTTGCAGACGCTAAAATCTTTACACATTGTTATTGTATCATTAAAACTACATTATATCAAAAATGCCAAGTTGAGTGCCAAAATTTTGATTTCAGACCTTATTTGACTGGACTAAATAAACTTTTTTTTAATTATAGTTAAAACCTCGTTTTGAAGTTTGTATACCTTGTTGTCAAAAGTGAATATTATACTAAGATTAGCCCAAAGCTACTGAAGATGTGCACGTACCATGCGGGTTTAAAAATTATTCTTAATAATTAATTAAATTAAAAAAAAATTAACTCTCTACGTCAAATGGCATGAAAAAAAGTTGTCTATGTACTAGGATTACCAGTAATCTTTATAATATGTATTAATAACCAAAACATAACGAAACGCGCTTGAGACAACAAGGCGAAGGTAGCGAACAGCACTTGAGGATCGTTATAGCAAAACGTTATTATAACTGCCAGAATAAAATTGAACCCCGATTTCATCAAAACACGGTTTTAAATACAATTAAGCGCACTGACGCTAAAATGATCAAAAAGGAAGTTATTAGAAATAATACATTTTGTTTTTATATTAAATATTGAATATAAGTTTAAGATTAATTTAATATTGAGTATGTACTTAATTATGCGAATAATTTATAACTGTAATAAATGTTAATTAATTATACAAAATAATAATTAAATACACGAGTGAATTTGAAAGATAAATACAAAACTCGTTCGGAAACAAAACGCTTATCTATTTTAAGGTATTTAAAATATAATCTAGTATTAATTAAATATAGCAATTAAGTAAATTATATATAAATTATAAGTAAATATAAATAACGAATAAATAGGTGATGCTTACAACACTATGAATATTCCAATCTTATTTAATAAAAGATGTATTCGTAGAAATATATGTTTTTGTAACAATAATTCTACTGATAATATTAATGAATTTTAATTAATAATTATAATTATAAAACTTTATTAGCAATAAGTTTTTACACTATATATATATATATATATATATATATATATATATATATTATACTAATATAATGATAAATATTAGTTTAAATTATTATATACGAGTAATTCATTGAGTTATTTTAATTCGGCACAATGGAAACCATATTAAACTTATAATTAACAACCGTAATGCAACAACTTGCAAAGTGCAAGTTTTATACCAGCACTGATATTTGTTCAAATAATCGAATCGTAAAAGAAGATTTGAATGCGTAATCTGGTGTGAAATTAAGGTTTCATCATAAGAATAGTTCCAATTGTTTGACCACAAAACTCATTTCGTATCGTAAACATAGAATGTAAAATTTTGATTGTTAAGAAATGAAATAAACTCCGGCTACGCAACAGAAGTCGCCCAGTGATCTATTTCTAATCAAAATACCGCATAGATGTACGTTGATTTCTAAATAAGTATAGTAGGTATATAATATATATGTATATACACATATATATTAGATACATATTGAACCTCCCAAATATGCTTCGCGCCTGGTTGGATTGCCGGACACCAATGTTTCCTTTGTATGATATAAATAACGGAATAAAATAATATAATATAAATAACAGTGCTAACATGAAACTCTATTAAAGCAAATTATTATTAATTGAAAGAATAAACTACTTCATAAATTATAGCGCACTAGAATTTATAATAGAACCAAAATTATGACTAAGAACTAAACTAAAATATCCACCATAAGGAATAATAGCTATCGACTCATTCTGATCCTCTAGATTTTTATTTATTCAAATGTAAGTAATATACGAAAAAAAATGGTTAAGTATGCATT